CTCCCCTGAACGGCTGTTGTTTGGGGCGCAGGCTCCTAAGCTCCCTGTACCCCACAAGTGTACAGGGTCCAGGGGCTGAGGCCAAGCAAGCTCATGCCATGTGCCTGGGCAACGTGAATCTCCCTGCACTGAGGGAGCGGGCAAGCCCTAAAGTACAGTGGTCCTGGGCTGCCCCAGCATAAGGGATCCCAGCTCCATACAGCCCCCCTGGCCTTGACACGTGGCTGCTTCCAGCCCTGGCCATAACCAGCTGCCCTTGTATCAGCAGGGACATGCAGAGGTGGGCAGGGGCTGAGCTAGAGCAGCCTGCCCTGGCCCAGGCAGGATGTTCCACAGGGTCTGGGTCCTGCAGCTGGGCTTGGGGCAGTGCTCCCACCAGGCCGCAGTCTCGCCTTCCCATCCTTATCTCCGGCAGGGCGGGACTGATGGAGCAACCCAGCCCAGTTAAGGTTTAACCAGGCAGAACTTTGCAAACATGAACCTGCTGCTCCTTCTGGGGATCCGAGAATGTGGGGCCCAGTGTGGGGGCTGCAGGATAGGGACAGCAAGGACATGGGGGCTTTGGCCAAGCCCTCAGCATGGTACAGGAGCACCCACAGATTTGGGAACCGAGGGTCAAGCTAGGACCACAGGCAGCTGGGGCAGCAGAGAGTGGGCAGTGCCATGCCTGGTCCCTGCTGCAGCCCTGCCTGTTACAGCTGTGCTAGATAGCACCAGGGCTGCAGCCAGCACAGGGAATGGGATGCACAGGGCCAGGACAGGCACTGCTCCCCTTGGGGACATGGCACACACCATGTGCGTGGTGCCCATCCAGGTGCCAAGCTAGCCGAGATTTCCCTGACAGCCCTGTCCTCTCCTGGGGAATCAGGGGCTCTTCCTTGGTGCAGTGTGGCCACGGAATGGGAATGCTAGGCAGGAACGGGGCCACCCTGATGCTCCCAGTCCCTAATCGCAAGCAGGCGCCCTGCCTTGCCTCCACATCTGCACCCGATTTACTCGCTGGAGCCAGCGGGGCCACCACG